GTACGCTGCTCCGAACGATTAGCTTCGCCCCCCTATGGGCTGATCACTCCCTAATCACGTGAAAAATGAAGCCTGATTCTCTACTCCCCAAATCCCAAGCCCACACATACCAAGCCGAGATCCAGCAACAGTAGGCCCACAATTTATGAAGACAAATCGATCGGTCTAGGTCACACACGTTTCTTTTCCTCTGACCTTGTTGTTCGATGCTGCCGCCACACGTCTAGGGCGGTTTTGCATCAGTTCTCCTTCCAGCCGACGCAAAATCTAAAAGAGTTCATGATCCATAGTTGCGGTTGCGTAGGCGCACGGCCGGCAGGTCGTTCTCACGGCAAAGATGAACGGCATGGCAACGATGGGTAAGTTTACTTCCGTCTCTCGCTCTCTCTTGGGAGTAATTTATTTTGCGGGGAACTCTCTTGCAGTAAGTTTACATTCATCTCTAATTCTTACTTATATCTCGGTAGTTTGTCGAATCTAATTTTTCAATGCGACAAATTTGTAGAAACTACAAACATTGGAAATTAATTAGGGGTAATCTGATTGACCAGTTCTGCTTGACGCTTGTGTTGATAACTTGAATCAAAAGAGAAAACCAACAATATTCATAGTATGTATTGATGATATGGTTTCCTATATATGGTTACAAAATTTTGGTGCTTATTGTTCTTGCCCCCCTATTGCCGATTTCTGGTTTCCTCCCTGGGTTGTTCTGATATATTTTAGAATGATTTGAGTGCGAGTTTCCATACAACAAGTTCATTTCAACTATTTTCATTTTACAGAGTAACAAGAATGGAGATTGGTGGTTACACTTTGCCCATGTTGGTGAAAAGTTTGCTCCGGTGGGGTTTTGGCCACGCAGTCTTTTCCAAAGCTTGTCCGATCATGCAAATTATGTAACTTGGGGCGGCTACACTAGCTCTCTTGTGAGGACTCCTAGCCCTCCCATGGGCAATGGACGCTGGCCGGGAGGAGATTCTGCTTCATTTCAAAATGTGCAATATGTCAACAATGATGGGCATGGTTATCTTCGAATGCCTAACCTTCGTTCTAGGGTAACCGATACGGCATGTTATCGAGTTAGTGAATTCATGACTGGCAAGTTCAGCTATGGAGGACCCGGTGGATGTGTTAATTAGTACCGTTATGCACTAATATATAATATCATCAATAAATGCAAGTTTCGTCTTACTATGTCGTTCCGTGAATACGGACTAAATAATGTCATACACTCACATTCGAACCGACATGACATTTCACGCATAGTTTTTTATTTCTATGTTTATCGAATATACTACTCCCTCCGTTCTCTTATAAGATAAGACATTTTGGACAGTTGGTTTTGAACTGTTTTGGGTGCTGTCTGAATTGTATAAACGTCTTATAAAAGGGAACAGAGGATGTAAAAATCAAAGAAGTGGGCTGAAACAAAAATGAAGACTCCCCAACATGATGATTTTGGACTGATTTCCCAGCCCGGCCCGGCCCTCTACATTGCACCTCACTCCACTCTC